CGCGTGCCTGCCCCGGGGCCAGCACTCCCCCCAAGCAGGGAAGCCCCACACATGTGCCATCCCACCCGTGCAGGGAAGCCCCGCACGCATGCGCCTTCCCCAGGGCCAGCACCTCCCCCCATGCAGGAAAGCCTCTGCGTGCGCCTTCCCCGGGGCTAACTCACCCCTCCTGTGCGGTGTAGGGGGCCGGCAGAGCAGCTAGCGCACTTCTGGAATTGCCGGAAGTGGCGCTAAGCTGCGGGACTTCTGAAGCCGACACTACCTCTGTTTTCTCTTGAGGTAGGTAGTGGGGCTTCTGAGGGGTGGGAGGGAAATGGGGGCAGGGCGGACAGGACGCCTCGCAAGCGACTGGTCGAGGCCTCGAGATCAACCAGTAGTTCGCGATCGACCTGTTGGTGACCACGGCTCTAGGTAGTAGGTACACTCCTGCAGAAGGCCAGGATCAGAGGGAAGAGATGCAATCAGTATGTTCAACTTGTGTTAAGTAGCTTACTCTGAAGAAATACAACTGAATAGGAAAGGAAATTTATGTGGCTAGAAAGTATTTGCTGGTACATGGGCCAGTGAGACAGCTTGAAGCAATGGTCTAAACATACTGCAGTAATTCTGGACAATGGTATAGCATCTGTCCAGTTTCAAAGCACTTACTCTTCCTGCTGGGATGTATACAGAAGGGTTTTTTTCCCATCCAAACTTTAAAGACAATCCCTCCCCCCCAAAAACAGATCCCTTTCAACATCTGTGCAAATACTTTGTGTTTGGGGTAAAGTCAATCATGATCAGAATTGGAGGGATACAGCACAGTGGCAGCATAATCAGGATAGAGTAGAATAATGTTGGCAGATGCAGCGATTTTGGTACTGAAAAATATAAAAATCATATATCTAAGGAGGGGGGAAAAAGCAACAGGTGCACACACAGGTACATTTTAATCCCCATTAAAGAAGAGTTTATTTTCATCTTGTCTCATTAATATTGCCTGAATGTTCCTAATGTGTGTCTCTAAAACCTGTTGTAATTGAAAGGAAAGGTTGGCCCATAAGTTAATCTATGAAGAGTGATCCACAGTATGACAGTTTGTCCCTCTTGGGTCTTCATATGTGTTGGCACATGCTGCAGACTGCACCTCTAAATCCATATTCATCCTTAGCATCTGAGTGAAGGGCAATGATCTTTGACAGTCCGAAGATTTATATTTTTTTATCGTTCTTCAGGCCCCTTACATTTTTACAAAGACTTGGCAGGCTGAGTGTAGCTCCCTCTGGAGCCTTCTAGCACTGATCCTGAGATGACAGGAGGCCAAGTGCACTGCCTGCACTACTCAAGAATCCAGGCATAATGAATTGCTATTGAATGTTGGATCCCTGCACCAGACAGAATTGGGTTGGCACGTCAGCTGAATGCGTCAGTTCTGTTAAAACACAAAACAAAATACTTTAGTCCATTCAGGCCACTGATGCAGGGTCTGCAAGAAACATATCTCTGACATTTTTAATAAACACACCACAGAGGGTCCCAGCTGTGGTGAAATGCTTTATCTTCATCTAGTGGAGTGACTTGATGATTGACTTGTAACTCAATACTCTAAGCAAAGTTTACCATTAATGTAGGCTCCAAGCTACAGATGTGTACTGCATGTGTACATATACTCATGATGTCATTCCTTGAGCTAGAGCAAATATAAATCACGAGATAGCAGTGGGAGCATTGGCACTGTTAATAGATGTATGGCAGAGCCTTGTCGAGTACATACTCTTTGCTGCCACTGCTAGTGTTACTGAGTGTTTATGTTCGCTCATACTAACTCAGTGATGGCCAGTTCAAGGATGTGCACATGAGCAGTGGAATTACACCTCTAGCTTATCGTGTACACAAAGCCTTAGAAAAATTATGCCCATTAAATCTAACAGGGTACATCTACACTGCACGAATAGTTATTCTGGAAAAGCTTATTTCAGAATAGCATGTCTACACTGCAGGGAAGCCTCAAAATTAGTCGGAGGCAGGCTTCCCTAATGTTGATGTGCTATCTCAATTTAGAGCCCCAGGAGGCACTGGGGAGGAATAATTTAGAATAGGGGAGGGGCTATTTCAAAATAGCAGCAGTGGAGCCTCTACACACACCTTATTTTGAAATAGCTATTTCAGAATAGGCGTTATTCCTCATAGAATGAGGTTTACAGATTTGGGAATAAGTTCATCCATTATTTTGAAATAATGGAATGGCTGTGTAGACGCTTGCATTGTTGTTTCAAAATAACATTAGTTATTTCGAAATAATGGTGCAGTGTAGACGCACCCTTATATAGAGATCTTTCAGTTTCAGAGGCCATTAGCCAGGTTTGCCTTTAACCTAGCACGTGCTAGGGCATGTACAGATAAGGACAAGATTTGTTTTGCCCCTTTTTAAAGGGAAATAATAGGAAGCCAGTGAGTTGGCTTGCTGGAAAAGCTAGCCCCTGGTCTCTCCCTTTGTATCCCTCCTCCCCACGCCTCTTTCTTATAGGATCCCAAAGCACCCTCACCACAGTGCCCTTTTGGCCCCCAGTGCTGGGTGGATGGGGGTGGCAACTTCTTAGGCCTGGTGTGCTAGGCAGTGCAGCCATCACATCCCCTGCCCTGGTGCACTGCAGTCACCTTGCCACCAGCCCTGGGGTGGTGCAGCCACTACTCCCCCAACACTGGCCAACTTGACTCCCTGTGGGAGACATAGCCTGCCCCTGCCTAATTGTGAGGGGAAACTAAATTTATGTTAATGCAGTGTTAGTGTAATCCATGCAAAAAGTGTGACTATCTGCTCTGTTTGGGTCTGCTACTTCCTCTGAGCTACTGGACCTTATTCATTAGCTGAGTACATTTTTAGATCTAGAGATCCCAGTTCAATCCCTGCAGAAAACAGAAGAGTAACATTGGCTAAGATGTTTAGCATTGAAGTCAGAAAATTCCAAATCTCACTCCTGCCTCATTGTTAATCTAATCATGTTTTTTCTGCCCTTCTTCTGGAAATGTAAGTGTTATTTAAAGGTACCTTATGACAGACTTAAATACAGGCAGTCCCCGGGTTACGTACAAGATAGGGACTGTAGGTTTGTTCTTAAGTTGAATTTGTATGTAAGTTAGAACTGACGTCCAGATTCAGCCGCTGTTGAAACTGACCAGCAGCGGCTGAATCGGACACGCCTGGGGCAGAGCAGCTGGGGTGCTGCTGGGTTGGTCCCGCAGCGCTGCTCCTCGGTGCTACTGGACCAACCCGGCAGCACCCCAGCTGCTCTGCCCCAGGTGTTCCCAAGTCAGCCGCTGGTGAAACTGACCAGGG